ACAGCCCCCGGGAGTGTAAGCCGAAAGAGAAGTCCCTCGCCGTGCCCTCCCTCTCCCCGTCTCCCACCCCGTCGCTGGACTGCAAGGAGCCCATGGGAGAGAGCGCAGAGAACCTGCCGCCGGCTTTCCCGCAGTCCTTCGAGACGAGCCAGGCAGGGGGGGCAAACGGGTCCCCTCCCACCATCGCCTGCATCAAAAAAGAGGAGTCTGACTCAGAGGAGGTGGGCCGCGAAGCCAGCCCGAAGGGCCTGGCTGCAGCCTTGGGTGACAGTCCCCTGGATCACCTGAAATCGGTCACCGTTCGCTACTCCACGGATGATTCTCCCATCACGTCCTGGCCCGGTTCCGACCCAAACCTCGACAGCGGCACCAGCAGCCTTCCTGAAGTGAAGCACTCGCCCGCCAGCCCCCGGGAGCCGTTCTTCAAGCCTTCCTCGCCGGTGGTGCAGAGCCCCAGGCTCCCCGCTTCGCCGAAGCACCTGGACAGCATCTCCCTCAAGGAAGAGCAAGAAGTTCTGGAGAAGTCGATGGGAAGTCCACAGAGTATGTCCAGCGCTGAGGAAGAGGAGGAGGAAGACGACAACAACAACGATTCCCCTTCTTCCAATTCCTCACGGCCCTTGAAAGTGCGGATCAAAACCATCAAAACATCTTGTGGCAGCATCACCCGAACAGTGACCAGGGTCTCGTCAGATTCGGAGCCGGGCTCCGCCAAGGGCCCAGCCGAGCAGAGCTCCCAGGACACCTCTCTGGAGGGTGCCGGCTTCTCGGCAGACAAAGAGGAAGGGATTGCGCTGGAGGTGGCCAAGGAGAAAATGGAGCTCTCCAGCCCCTTGAAAACCATCGAGGGGCCAAAAATCGTCAGTGTTCAGCTTGGCAACGGCACCAAGCTCAAAGGGACCGTCCTGCCCGTCTCCACCATCCAGAACGCCAGCAGCGCCATGCTGATTGCTGCCAGCGTGGCGCAGCAGAAATCCGTGGTGCTGCCAGCAAAGACGGGTAAAGCCGTGGCCAAGAACATCATCAACCTGGTGCCACAGACCCTGCCCAAGGCCGACACCAGGACCAACGTCAGCACCGTGACGCAGACCGCCACCATCACCACCACGGCCAACCAGAAGGTCAACGGCACCACGGTTGTGATGGTGCAGCCGCAGAAGCCTTCCCCTACCATCCCCGGC